AAAGTGCAGACGAAAATGATCGATGGATATGCCATGATGCGTGTTCGTGATCAAAACCATATTTGCCTGCAACATACAGAAAAAACGATTATCGTTTGAGGAGTTGATCGACACCATACACATTTTCAACTATTGTGGATTTTTTTTCTCCACAAAAATTAAATACAAAAATATGTGATTCAAAGCTAATTTGGTTATGATAAAGCCCAATAGACTTACATCATTATAATTTTAATGTGGTAATCGGTTTTTCACCGAAGCAAACACCTCAATTCAATAAAAAAAATAAAAACTATGACTCAACAATATGAAGGTGTTTATGCAGCAAACCAAATATCCAATCCGTTGTTTTTTCCTTATTTTTTAATTAAATCTCGAACCAAATATTTTGAGTTGGTTTATTTTTGAATAAATTTCATTTAATCTTTATGATTTAAGGTTTTTTTTTTCATTCTATCATTGTTTCCCTCTTTTTATTCAATATTTTGTGACTCAATCTAATTCAAATGTTGTGCATTTTTTCAGAATTCGACATCTTCGCAAATATAACCAAGTCGAGGCGAGGCCATCCACAAATCATTTTTGAAGGTTACGCATATGGCTTGCCCAATGTGTCCAAAATGAACAATATCAACGAGAAAAGAATCACATGGCAGTGTACGTGCTGTGAAGTTAGCACTCGCAAACGATGCTCGGCAACGTTGCAGACAGAAACTATTGACGGTTATGCCATGATGCGTGTCCGCAATCCAAAGCATATTTGCGCAAAACGAAACCCAAAATAGTTAATCTAAAACTAAAAAAAAGTGCAATTAGTTCAGCTTCCTTTCCGCGATGAAGGACGATGTATATAAATAAAGACATTTGTCCAGAGTATTTAAAAAATATCAAAATTTTGAAGCAGAATTTTTAATATGAACTCATTTATGAATAGATTATCTATTTTTCTAACAATTTCTAGAGTGTATAAATACAATAATGTGCATTGTTGAACCTTTTTTTGTGAAATTGATTAAAATCTCATTACGTTACTGATTAACCGTGTTTTCATGTAGATTTTGCATGGAAGTGCTGTGTGGATTTGAATTGTTAGCCATAATTCGTTGGTTTTTCTCAAAACTAATCGTGTTTTTTCTTTCAGATTTCACAATAGCAGCACGTTTGGAAGTGGATAATGGTCGAGTGTCTTTGGTCTATGGTGGTCACAAGTTTATAAGATACGGAAGCAATGAGAATACAAGATATTGGCGATGCAGGCAGTCATTTAAATACCAATGCAAAGCTCGAATTCTGACCAAATTGGTGAATGGACGTGAAATGATCAAAATTCAACATGGTCAACATGATCACATTCAATTGAGAGTGATTAAGAAAGAACAAAAGTGACCAACACAGTCGAACAAAGAATGAGCTGAAAATGACTTTTTCAATGAATCCAACAGAACAAGTTGTTTCTGTTATTTTTAGAACCAATTAACCATTCTTAGAGATCAATCCAAAATAAAGTGTTTGCATTACTCATTTTATATGTTCAGTTTTATTTTGTTTCCCAGTTCATGGTCCCCTTTGAAATTTTTTTCCATCCAATTCAACTAATCATAATTTTTTTCTATTTTCTCAAAGATGGATTCAATGAATTTGCCGAGTTGATCATTGAGAACGGAACGATTTCCCTGATTCAAGACAGTCACAAGTTCATTCGAGATCGTGTCGATAATGACAGGAGCTATTGGCGTTGCCGACATTCCTTCAAGTACGAATGCAAGGCCCGTGTTGTGACCAAATCGGTGAACGGCTACGAAATGATGAAGATACGAATGGCTGAACACAATCATACTGAAATCAAAAAGCCCAAAAAAGGACCAAAAAAGAAAAAGGGTGGCAAATCAAGGAGCAAGGCGAGTACCGTGCCAAGATTGATTCGACCAAAACTCACCAATCAAGCACAACTGCGGCTCACACCAAAAATGCCAAAACTTACACCGAAAACCACCCCGAAACTGACCCCAAAAACCGAAAATGTGCCGCCAAACGATGACGCCGAGAATATGATTGTTGACATCCTCGATTGAGTCCAAGAAAAAATCGGATAAATTTCCTTTTAAATGTTGACAACAACCTTTTTTTCTTCTCCAAAGCAATTTATCTTCCTTGAAAGTTAGGGTTGCCATTTGCAACAAAAATTGAAAGTTCGAAATGAATGACTATTTTTTAAATCTCTATTTTTTTTTTAACACATGAAACTGATGGCCCTAACAATTGAAAAAGTTGAACAAATACCTCGAATGAAGAAATATACACATTTTTGTGAACAAATTGCCAAGCATTTTAAATGTTTTACTGTGAATTATGATTCAATCAAACCAATCAAAATAGTTCATACAAGAAATGGAATTTTTTAATGTTTTTCACTATAATTTGAGCACTTTTTAAAGAATCTATACGAACGTTGATAAAATCTTTTATGCAAGAGTTGGAACAATTTATGTTTTATATTGAATATTATTTGCATATAAGTTCTCTCAAAAGAATGATAGCTATGAATGATAATGAACAAAAATAAAGATCATATTCGTATTTTTTTGTCTCTTAACTTATTTTAGTCCACATTGTATTTTTGCAAGAATCAAGTTTTCTCAATACTAATCAAAATATTTGTTGTTTTTTTTTCTCTCAATCATAGGTTCACCCAAATTAACGCAAATGCATTTTCGCAAAGGAACCAAAGGGCCAAAACTGATACTGAATGGATTCTCCTACTTCAAAAACAACGGTTCGGCCGATCGTACTTATTGGTTATGCTCACGTTCGTATGATTGTTGTCTTCATTTTACTGAATGTAAATTACAATTTTGTAATTAAATTAACTAATCAATTTGATTTCATCTCTTTCTATAGGAAATCGTTATGGCAAATGCAAAGCGCGAATCATCACAATGAATAATACACGGGAAGTGGTGATAAAAAATCAAAATCACAATCATTTGCCAGATGATCCGAGTGAAATCAACACGTTGGAAGTCATCACTTTTGACACCGTCATGAAGTTGATTAATGATTGGGAAAAATAAGCAAGATTCCATGCATGGAATAAATAACATGTTATTTTAGCCAACGACATGGGCTAATTGGATTGTGAGCATTTCCAGAAGTTGATGCGTTCCGAATTGTTCATGATTCATTCTGCTCAAATAGAAAACTTTATTTTCGATTAATCATTTTACAAATACTCATCAACATACAAATGTGTACTTCATTGACAGTTATTTAGCATAAAGAATAAATATTTTGTGTAATTTCATGACCAAATTCGAATTCATTTTGAAATTAAATTTGATGCATTTCAGCTCGAATTTATTTTTGATATTAAAACTAATGAAAAATCTTCCCGATTTCTCTTTCAGACGGATCTCTGAAGCGAATCAAAGGGACGCGCAATTTAACTTACATCTCAGGTCAACGTGGAACGTTAAAAATTCTGTTGAACGGGTTTTCATTTGCACGAAACAAATCTTCGAATAATACTGCATACTATCGATGCTCGAAGTGGAAACAGCACAAGTGCCGAGCAAAATTCATTGTGAATACGTCGAAGGATGAAATCGTGTACCGATCCATTGAACACAATCACCTGCCTGATCAATACTCCGACTGAATTCATTCTAGTGCTGTGCACATTCTCATCCGATTGATCATCATGCATTGATGTATGGTCTCTCTACAATAAAAACCCTTATAAAAACTGAATATGATTTGTTTGAAAATTGACTTTTTGAAAGTTGTTCAGTTGTTTGAAAAACTTATCCATTAAGAAATTAAAATGTTTCGTTGAATGAAATAAAAATTGTTGTACAAATTCGATTGTTGTCTTCATTTTACTGAATGTAAATTACAATTTTGTAATTAAATTAACTAATCAATTTGATTTCATCTCTTTCTATAGGAACATTAGTTTACAAGTTGTTATTGGATACATCTGATACCGGGCCTGATATTCAGGAAAGAAAATTCACCGTAGAAAAGGATCCGTTGACAGGAGCCAAAGATGAAAATGCCATCCATTACGTTACTGGTCAAAGAGGAGCGCGGAAAATTGTGTGCGGTGGTTTCTCTTATATTTGTGCCAAAATCAATGGGGATCGAAAGTATTGGGTGTGTGCGAAACAACGTAGCCGAAATTGCAAAGCCCGACTCATTACCAATGGCAATGAGACCGTTTTTATACGTCGCAATCAATCCCACAATCATAATTCCGAATCAACGCCACGTGCACGAAACGATTGATATTTTTGAGACTTTTTTAATTTACATTTTGGTAGTTTTGTTCCGAAAAATGAAATGTATTTGTCCTTTGATGAGGTGGCGCAAATCTTGAGCTGAATAAAACTACGGGATTTCCGAAATTGAGCGTTTTCTAGGATTCAATTCATTGGCATGACTTGAAACATCCCCTTCAATTTTATGAATGAAAACTTATATCCGTTTCGTTTCTAATCACAAATAGGTCCAAGTTCATCGTTCAACGCCTTGATGTCATCGGTGCAACAGAAAATGTTGAGTAAACCAAAGGATGTGGTATTTATGGATGATCAAACACTTGAATTGGTCCCAGGACAACGAGGCAAAGAATTACTTTTGTTGAATGGCTACACTTTCGCTACAAATCTTGTCGTAGATAAATCAACGTATTGGTGTTGCCGGCATCGAACCAACAACAAACCTGCATGTCGCGCCCGAGCTCGAACCCAGGAAAAGGAAAATGGCCTCTACACCATTATCATTTCACAACCAGTTCATAATCACAAACCACACCGAACATTCAAAAGAGCCGATAACACTTTAGAACAGTAGTATTATTTTAACAGATAATTGAAAATAAATTTCAATTTTTAAACATTTTATTTTCGTTTTGATTTATTTTGCTTTAGTTTAATTTTTCTACGGTTTGGAAAAAAAAGTTAAAATTCGTTACTAATTGATTTGTTTCTCTTTTGAAATAGGACAATCGAAGAAGCGACAGACAAGGCAATCACAGTCAAAGAAATCACAGGTGAAACCATTGCGCGCTGAAGTTGATTTGGTCATGCAAAATCCATCGACGACATTTGAGTATGTTCCGACGCGATTGGGAGCCGGAAAAATTGCCATCGATAACCAGGTTTTCGACTATCATTTCAAATCGCAACGCATCAACTTCTGGAAATGTTCACAATCCAATTGCCCAGCCAAGGCTATTACACGAGCTACGGAGGCATGGATTCTAAACAATAATCATTATCATTAAGTTTTGACATTTTATTTCGGCTTTGCAATCCACAGTTTTTCAGAGTTTATTTAGATACCCTCATAATGACAGACAGTTTATTTTTATACACTTTTTGCATTACATTTCTAATTTTCAATTTCCAACGCGCACAAATGCGATTCTGTCTTGGAAATAGTGCCTTAACAGATTTTGTTTTTGGTTAATAAAGTTTCAGTTCATTTTATCACGATTTCATTTTCGATTTTGTTTTAGTTTGAAATCTTTTTCAGTTTTTTGCTCCTGACCATGGAAGAAGCAAATCGCATTCTTTTCCAAATATCAACCGTTAATATTGTTTAATTTTTCCTTTTCCAGTTCGATTTCGACTTCGAGTTCCAAGGCGCAAGATTGAGTGCGAAACGTTTGAGTGTGTGAAGATTGAGAGACGACCGTATTACTAGAGGTTTTTTTGTGGAAATCCTAGCGAACTAATCGAATTCATCATTTTGGAATATAGGCACGGATCACTTTATCATTCAGAAATTGCATAAAATTAACTTATTTTCCATTTTCATTTCGAATAAATTTTCAGGGCTGAAAATAAATTTTTTGATTTGGAACGATTTTTTCTTTTGTTTTTTTTTTCTTGTTCTTTGTCTTCGTGATTTAAATTTTTCTTTTTATTCTTTTGTTCATTTTAAGATACTTTATTCGTCGGTCTATATTCAACTTTCACTAATGAGACTATTTCGATTTCCACATTTTAGGTTTGGCACCGAAGCGAAGTCGTGGTCGCCCGCGGTTGAATCCATTTAAGAAAGGTGTGAAAAACTGTAGTATAGAGGAGATTTTGAAGCAACCATCATACCCATTGGAATTGGTCACGACGAAGGTGGGCGGTATGAAGGCGGCATTCAAAGATTATTGTTTCGAATTCCACTACAATCGAAGCGGCAATAAATTCTGGCGTTGTTTATCACATACGAGCGGATGCTCTGCAAAGATTATGTCTAAAGGAAGCCTAATATATGCAATCAATGTGGAACATAACCACGAAATTGATCCAGTGGTTTTTGTAAACACCTCAGAGCTTGTGTCGACGAAAACCGTTCCAGCACCGGCAAAACCCGAACCCGAAACTATTGCAGCTACCATTAAGCAACCAGCCGATATCACCCTAAATGCCGACTTGAAAGAGAAAATGAAACAACGCTTCGCTATTCTTGGCAAAAAAATGCAAAAGCAATAAATTACATCGAAAACAATCGATATAGTTGAGGACTTACTTTTCTATCGCTGACATTTCAAAATCGAGTGCCTTTTACTAACATTTACTTACATTCTTCTAAATTGAGTCCACACAGTTAGCATATGTGTGTTTGCCTTATGACTTTGTCGAACTTTATTTCAAGCTTTAATTTCAATTTCTTTAATCAACTACAGTTATAATTGAACTAACAAATGATTTCATCTCAAACTTTTCCTATTTAACGATATGCGGCTCAATTTTGAGTTGACTTGAATCAACATAGCATAAAGTATATGAGAGTGTTTTTCTCAATGTTTCAATCATATTCATTTCTTTAGACCATTTATATTATTGTTTCTTCAAAAAAACTGAACTCAATTCTAAGTTTTGCATTTACTCTCAATAATTATTCACTTAATTTGAAACTGTATTTACAATATGAAATAATTGAATAGCTCTTTGAATATTAATTCTGTCAGTTAATAAAATTCTCTCCAAAACATATGTGTGAATCTCTTCATTTGTTCAGAAAATCTCGAATACAACGACTGAATAATAATGAAAGATTTTTTTTCGTTTCTAGGGAGTGATAAACCGACTGTGAAATATATCAGTAGTTTGAAGGGTGGATTGCAATTGTGTGTGAATGGATTTCCCCATACTCGACACCGGCTGCGTGGTCAAACGACGTACTGGCGCTGTGTACAATTTCGGCCATTAAGGTAAGTCATTTGAACGTTTATAGTTTTCTTGAATTCTATTTTCGTTCGATGGTGATTGGAATATGAACATTTTACGAACAAAACATGAATGTTGCTAACAAAATAAAATTGCTTCAGGTGTATGGCTCGAGTGCGGACCAAAGAGAATGGCAATTTGGAAATCGTTGAAATGCAACATAATCACGGAATACTCACTGAACGTCGCAAGAAGGGTGTTCTCAAAGCGATGTACGCTCAGAAACGGAAACAGCAGCAAGCGAAACCAGTTCAAAAGCAATGAAAATGTCTAGTTTTAGGGAATTTTTAATAAAACTGAATTGAAATTATTTGAATAAATCGTTTATCAAAATTGGAAAATTATGAATTATAAATGTCAAATTGGTCACATCGAAATGTTAGCCTGTTCATTATAGTTTTTCCTTTCCTTTATCCTCAGCTGGAATGGTACAAGCGATTGATGGCCACATAGTTGAATTTGCGTTGAGTGTTAGAGGCCGGCTGCAATTGGTCATTGACGATTTCCCATCTGGCCAAAATGAAGTGCTCAAGAAGAAGACCTATTACAGATGTTGCCAGGCTAAAGGTAATTCGATCGAGTCAGATCAGGATCTTTGTAGACGTAAACAGCAGAAAAAAAAATTAGCGCTCACAACACTCAAAACAATATTGGCATTGAAGCTCCCACACACATACATACACAATATACAATATATCCAAAAATCCACCGTATCCATGGTACCGAATGCATGCGTGAGGCACACGGATACGAAGGAGAACAAAAAATCAAGTAACATACATGAATAAGTTTTAATATTTTCTATTTTTATATTCTGACCAAAAACATACGCACACCAACCAACAACTGACATGCAAACGATCCTCCTCCCCCCCTCTATCCAAAAGTTCTTGGGTATGCTATTTTTCGATCAATTTATTTTCAAGATATTTTCCATTTTTGGCATTCAAGTTTCAATTAATCATGATAAATTTGAGTGAAAAATTCGAAAACGTATCAAACACTTCGAATTTCATACAAAAATATTATTCGAGTATAATACGAATTCTGATTCTGATCATGTTTCCAATTCAGGTGTCCAGCCCGAGTTCGATTAGTACACGCCACAAATCAAGTTGAATTCAAAAATCTTATCCACAATCATCCCGCAAATATTCCACGTCGATCCAAAGGTGAAGCTGAAATTCTGAAGAAAAGTCTACGGAAAGCAGCTGTTTTCGCTCTTCAAGAGCCATCAAAAGAATTGTCGGACGAAGCAAGCGATCAAGTGAATTAACGAACATTCTAGGAGATTGTGATATACAATGAAATTTTTAGTTGCGAATAAATTGATATTATCCATTATTCTCTCTCCTGTTTTCTTCATTCCCTCAATTGGGTTGTTTTCCATTTTCGTTTTCATACCATAAATGGATATTGGAAATATATTTGTATGATTTCCTTTTTGTTCTTCTTCATAATAGTTTTATTTTCTCTTCTATCCTCAGTTGGTACGGTACGAGCGATTGATGGCCACATAGTTGAATTTGCTTTGAGCTTCAGAGGCCGGATTCAATTGATTATCGACGATTTCCCGTTTTGCCAAAATAAAGTGCAGGCGAAGAAGATACATTATATATGTTGTCAGACCAAAGTTCTTGGGTATGTCATTTTTTGATAGTTTTTTTCATTTCAATCGCATTTTTTTAAGATATTTTCCATTTCATCAACTTTTATATACAGTCTATTCATGGAAAACTAGGATAAAAATGTGGAAATCGTTATACATTGCATTTCGAATTTGATTAAAAAAAATGAATGAAGTATAATACGAATTTTGATTCCAGGTGTCCAGCTGCAGCTCGATTGGTGAACGCGACAAATGACGTCGAATTTACGAATCTTAAACATAATCATCCCGCAATCATTCCACGTCGATCCCATGGCGAAGCTAAAAGTCTGATGAGTGGTTTGCGACAGAAGCAAAAACGAGTGAAAAAAGAGATCCAAACAATTGTCAGACGACTATCAAAAGAATCGTCGGACGACGCAAGCGACTTAGTGAAACATGAACATTCGGGCAGATTGTGATATGTCATTGCTTTTTAGTTGCAAATAAAATTGATATTATTTATTATTCCCTCCGGTTTTCTTCATTCTCCCAATTGGGCTGCTTTCCCGTTTCTTATTCATACGAGAATTAAAATATGTTCATGGTCAATGTTGGATAATCTCTTTGTTCTTCTACTTACAGTTAAATATGATGATCAACAAGGCATCGGTGAAGAATTGGATGGACACGAAGGAATGGTTGATGGGCATACAATCGAGTATGCTGTTAATCAAAAAGGGTCATTGTCTTTGCTCATCGACGGTTATCCATTCAATCGCGTACTATCAGCTAAAAAGACCTACTACAATTGCGTTCATGCATATACATTGGGGTAAAATAGAACTTTGTTCTAACAAAATGCAATTGTATACAAATATTGTGGTACGTTTTTTCAGATGTCGAGCGAAGGCACGAGCTGGCAACGGAACATTTAAAGTGGAAATTATTGATGTTACACATAATCATCCACAGGCTGTGCCGCGCAAAGGATGGGGAGCAAGACGTGCACGTTTCGTGGCGCAAAAGAAACAAAAAAAGTTCAAGAAACCAACGAAAAGTGACAACAAATCTGTTGAATCTATTAAAACTGAATTTGAATAAAAGCAAATTGATCAAAGCTGATGGTTTTTGTTTTTACCTTGATTTTTGTTGTCAAAATCTTTTTACCAGATTGAACAATATTTTCAATCATCTTTTTTTCTTTTACATACAGGTCAATATTACCATAGTGTGCAAGGCAACAACGAAGGATCAGCTGATGGGCACATTATCGAGTATGTTATTAATCAGAAACGAAATCTTCAGTTGGTCATCAACGGATTTCCATTCAATCGCACAACAAAAGCGAAAAAAATCTACTACACTTGTGTTCATGCGTACTCATTTGGGTAAATTTAAACTTCTTCTGAAAAAGTCGAAATTTTGCGCTAATCGCTTATATTTTTAGGTGTCGAGCGAGAGCACAAGCTGAAAACGGAACAAATACCGTGGAAATCATTGACGTTACACACAATCATCCACAGATGGTACCTCGAAAAATATCCGGAGAGAGTCGAGCACGTTTCAAAGCGCAACGAAAAGAGAAAAAATTCAAAAAATCTTAAAAATAATCGAATGCTTTAATTTCAAATAAAAGAATATGTTTATCGAACCAGTGCATCTAGTTTAACATTTCAGATTCATTTATTGACAAATTGCTGTCTTTTTGCAATATGTTTTTAATTACCTAAGTGCAAATGTTTGTATAATTTTGTATTTTTTCGCTTTTTTTCTTTTTGCTGAGTTTTTTTTTTGCTGAATTTTAATAATATACAAATGAATGATAAAATTTTATTGGTTTTATAGTGAAAACAGGGGGAAGCGTTATTGACTATACTATAAGTGTCCGTGGAAAAGTGCAATTGGTTGTCGACGGATTTCCATACTTTCGTAACAAAATCGAGGGTGATCGTCAAACTTTCTTCTGTCTTCAATACAAAGCACTCAAGTGAGTTTTGTCGTTTGTCTTCCTTTTCGATAATAATATTTCCTTTCATTTTTAGTTACTCTTGGACCAGTTCATGGTTTGTAAATGTAAATTTACCTTTAAATAATAGCAAGTTCATATATTTCAGATGTCCAGCCAAAGCGCGAATACCAAAGATGGACGAGCGGAAATTGTTGAATCGAAGCACAATCATCCATCAAATGTACCGTGCAGAATGCATGGTGAAGCACGGCGACTGAAAGAAGAACGTATAAAACGGAAAACGGCACCGTCGTAGAATTAAAACGGATATTTTATAAAACGCCTAAATGGGATAGAAAAGACAAAAGATATGAAAATATTACGTATACGAATCCAATAAATGGAGAAATTTTAAAATGTCATAGCGGATCATGTCAACTGTAATTCAGTTCGTTTCATATTGAAAATATAAAATATCGTTGAGAAGATTTTTGTTTATATCAGTTGACGCGAGTTCTTCGAGTTTTATATGATGTTTGCGAGTGTGAGTGTTCGTGAATCGCCCCATGGTCTACTTATTGTCTGCATCAGATAACACCGATTGAATAAAAGTTTTGAATGAAAATAAAGTTATTTCGAATAATCAACTATGTTTACTTTGAAGAATATTTGAAAAACAAATTATGAACAAAATTCCAAATCACTCGATCCAAATAATGTTTTCTGTTTATATTTCCCAGGACTTAGCGCTGAGGGTCACATCATTGAATATATCATAAGTGCCAGAGGCAAAGTCCAGCTCGTGATCGATTCGTATCCATTTTTTCGCAACAAATGTGAAGGCAACCGGCAGACCTACTATTGTAATCAATATAAGGCGCTTAGGTGAGTCGTATTCCGAAAAAAAAAATCTGTTCTATCGTTCAAAATTTAGAAAAATCTTATCCATATTTGAATATACTTCAGATGTCCGGCCAGAGCTCGAACATATACCAAAGAGAATCGCGTTGAAATCGTTGAAGCGGAGCATAATCATCCGGCAATCATACCACGACGATCACATGGAGAAGTAATCAAGCTAATCCGAGCTCGCGGTGGCAAGAAAACGATACGTAAAAGTTTAATGCGTCAATGAAAACTAAAAAGTGTTGTCTCGAAGCTATATTTTTACTTCAGTTGAAACAAAAACGACAAAAAATGATTATTATCGAAAGAAAATAAAGAAGTTTTGAAGTAAAACTTGTGTTGTCTTTGTCATTAATGCATAAAACATTTGATTACCTTAATAATTTGGCTTTTTTGTGATTTTAATTTACAGGACTCTGCGTTGACGGCCATACAATTGAATACATCATCAGCGTACGGGGCAAGATTCAGTTGGTTATCGATGGGTACCATTTTTATCGGTATTCTGTCAAAAAGAACAAAACCACCTACAATTGTGTACAAAATCGAATACTTGGGTTCGTATTTGATGTGGATTTTTCTTTGTTATTTCATTGAAGAATTATTTCATTGATCAATAAACAGTCATTATTACCATGATGGTAACACCACGAATTCGGTACTAAAATTCAATATTCAAACAGGTGTCCAGCCAAGGCTCGAGTCATTGGTAAAAATGAACACATTGAACTCGTTGATGTATTACATAATCATCCAGCCATTCTACCGCGAAGAGCGAGTGGTGAGGCAAAGCGTCTGTTTGCATTAGAGAAAACGAAGCAAAAGTCGAAGGAAAAAAGATGATTCATTCAATCATATCATGTCTCTTTCATCGGAGTAAAAACATGAAAATCTGTCAATAAATAAAAATTCAAATCATACAACATTGATCATTTTCATCAAATTTCTTTATACCATTTCTAAAACAGCAAATTGAAGATATATGATGTGCTAAGAATCAAACTAATTATGTCTCACTTTTCAATCTAGGTGTATCGAAACCAATGGTCGGAGTGGTGCAAATCAATGGCAAACGACACGTGGTGCTTACTTTCAATGGATGGCGATTTATTCACAGCAAATTGCATTATAACAGCATGTACTGGCGTTGTGAACATTTCAAAAGCCGGTGGTAACAAATAGCTCTCATTTCTTCTTCTTTAACTCTGTTGACTCTGTATTAAATATGCTAATTTTGAAATTTTTTCCGTTTTAGCTGCAAAGCCACGATCAAAACCGATCTCAATAATGCCAATTTGAAGGTATTGAATGCTAAACATAGCCACGGATGAATGAACAAATTCGAACCGTACAGATGAATATGTGACGATGCTTTTCCACATTATATTCCGTACACCAAACAGTACAAGAAATGACGAACCAAAGCCAAACTCAGAATAAATTTTCTCATTCCATTTTATTAGCAATATCAAATGAATAAAGTAAACTAAAAACCCCCATGAACAATGTTGATTTGACTGGATTAACTCATTAATTGTTTACAATCATTTTTGAATGATTCTAATAAATCTATCTGTTTTTCGTTCAGTTGCTGCCATTTACATACCAAATCTTCTGAATTCACCGTTATGCTTCAATGGGTTCAATTTCTGTCATGCCAGCAAACGCAAGAATTTCATGTACTGGAGGTGAAGAGAGCGTATTATTTATTCCATACTATTTATATGATATTTTTATCAAACACGCAGTAATGTTCGCATAATTTTTTTTATTTTTTTAGATGCAGAGAGTATAAACATCTTGGGTAAAACAATCACTTCAATTTTATTGTTTTTTTATTTTGTTTTCATTTTGTCTTCCATTTCATAATTTTGGTTAATACCAGTTTCTGTTCATAAAAATAGTTGTAACTAAATACCATTTAATGTTTCAATATGTTACTTTTTTCCTCATATTCATTTCAATCAGGTGCACGGCCAGTCTCAAAACGTTTTACGACAGTGCGGAAATTCAAATCTTGAACCCTACTCACAATCACACTCCAGATTATAGTCGAATCAAGACTGAGCGGCAATAATGAGGGAAAAAATGGAGAAAAAAAAAATCATTTTAATGAATTTGTATGAGTTTGTGTACTTGCAATAATGCACACTAAGTAGGACAGCTAAAATAATTACATCTTTTCATTCATGTTAATCAATACTCTGTAGTTCAATACTCAACGCACTTTTAATCGCACAACGAATTCTGTATTCAATTAAAGCATATTCGAATAAATTTCAGTGGTCTCTGTAGAATTATCGGCTCATTATTCATCCATGAATATCAAACGGCATTCGTAATGCAATGAATTGAGAAAAGATAAATGTTAATCAAATGTTCTTCAATATTTACAGATATATTCGATGCGCAACTCGGTGCATACATTCGTTTCGTAAAAAACAAAAAGGGTTTTTTACACATGTTTATAAATGGGTACAAGTTCTATCAGAAAGATCGTGGCGGTGGCAAGTTGTACTGGAACTGCTGCAAATATCGTGATCTTAGGTACTTAACCGCTTAATTTCCGTTTAAATAGCAATGATGATGGAAACTTTCTATGTAAAATGTCCCTTTTCATATGATTGCTCCTCTTCTCTATCTCTTCACAGCCGATGCCCAGCCCGGGTTCAAACTAGCATTGACAATCAGATCACCAATTTCGTTAATATGCAACACAATCATTAGCTAAGGTGTTGATACATATACACAAATGATTCGAAAAATTCGATGCAAGTGGATAATAAATTACTTGAATTCAAAATCATAAATGTTTTATTTTCTTCCATTTTCGATTAGAAATTGATTCATTATTTCAAATTATTAAAATTTTTGTTCTTCACATATATAATCCAGATATATTCGGTGCGCAGCTTGGTGCACATGTTCGATATGAAGTAAACAAAAAGGGCATCATATGCATGTATATAAACGGATACAAATTCTATCAAAAACAAATCGTTGGCAAAAAATTCTACTGGAATTGCTGCAAATATCGATCTAGTCAAAGGTATTTTAACAAAAATCGATCTAATTAATGGAAATTGAATCAAAATCATTTAACTTTGTTGAAAATTTCTCTTTGTTTCATTTTCCAAATGATTTATTTGTTTTCAGTCGATGTCAAGCCAGAGTTCAAACAAACTTCGACAACCAGATCACCAAATTTGTCAACATTCAACACAATCATTAGGCCAATGTCATTAGCTCAACACTCAGCTTAAATGCACAAATGAAGCGATTGGTGAAAAATAAATTTCTTGATTTTAAAATATTGAATTTTTTCTTTCATTTTCGATTATTAATAGCCATCGACTATTGAATGAATATTAGAGTAAATTTCGTAAAAAAAATACAATTTTTAATGCGATAATTAACATTTGCAGATATGCAACTCGGTACTCATGTTCGTTTTGAAGTAAATTGAAAAGGCTTGCTGCACATGTTCATCAATGGATACAAATTTCATCAAAAGCAAATGGTTGGAAATAAAGTTTACTGGAACTGTCGCAAATACAATAGCCCAAGGTAGTAAATTCAATTGATTCTTTAAAGATTCTTCTTCTTACAAATCATTTCATTCTATTTCAGTCGATGGAAGGCAAAAGTTCACTAGCGTCGACAGCGAAATTACGAAAATTGTCAATTTACAACACAACCATGCATGGATCAACTCATTCAAGATTTGAATGCAGAAGTGATGTAACATCAACAACGAAATTACAGATTTTGTGATTTTTTTTTACCTAAACCACAATCATTAGTTCAACTCGTGATTTTAGGACTTTTTTTTAACGAAATTTTTTGCAAAAAATAGAAAATAAATGTTTCAATGTTAAAATAATGAGTGTTTTATCATTAGCATTTTCCATCAGATGTTTACAAAACCATATTAACGATCATTTCGACATGATAATCCACATATTTGCAGATCCATTTGGGGCGCAGCTCGGTGCACACGTTCAATTCGAAGTTAACAAAAAAGGCATCATGCACATGTTCATTAACGGATACAAATTCTATCAAAAAGATTTAAGTTGCGGCAAAATTTACTGGCACTGCTGCAAATATCGCAGCCAATGGTAATTTTTTCAAGTTTGATTGATAAACATCTAGATTTTACAAAATCTTCTTCGACTTGGATAGAAATTATTCAATGATAAATGAGTGATTGGTTTCTTTTCAGGCAATGCAAAGCAAGAGTCCAAACCACCGTTGATAGTGAGATCACGAAGTTTGTTGACTTGCAACACAACCATGTACCTGATCGAATGATTTAAATGAAGTTAGATTTTTTTTAGCAAAAGTCAAAACGATAAACAGAGAATATCTTACTACTCATCAGACAAACATTAACATGTAATACGTATACATATTGACCAGTGATTGTGACTCGTAATGGTTTTGTTTCTCGAATTGATTGGTTTTTACATGTGAAACTATAGCACGCATTGAAAAAAAAATGTGCTCTTTGAAATTTTGATTGGCCAAATGTCTGAATTTAAGAGATTATATTCAACTAGTCTGCCAACTGTTTAGTTTCTGTTTTGAATATTGATCTCTTGTTTAAACTAAAACTACAAAAATAAACCCATTTTCCAAAGATTTGTTTCGAGTATTTGTTCATTTCGTCGCATTTTTACCAAATACCTTTATACGTGAAAACTAATACTTTTTTTTTCCCCAAATTACAGATGAAAATCTAGATCTCGACTACAACGATGTCAAACCATATTTAGATACTCAAGGCAACATGATTCAATTCGTTGAAGGTCTGCGCGGGAAACGGCAGTTGATCATTAACAATCAATATTTCACGCGAATGTCTTTCTGCGCAAAGGTGACGTATTACAGATGTAATCAATACAAAAATCTCAGCTGCTCGGCTAGATGCCAATTTGGACCAACAGGACTGAAGATTGTATCTCTAGAACACAATCATGGCTACATACAGCGATACAAACGCAAAGACACTTAGGCAGCTATGTCTTGATTTTGATATTTTTCCAATATTTATAGCAGCAAATTTTAGATTTCCTTTATGAATATTTGTTTTTTTTATCTTTTATGTTAACTTTTCCTGGGAAAAGAAAGAATAAATTAAAAGTCAAAAGAATAGATTCTTTTTCTTTCCGAGGGTTTTTATTGAAATAGCGAGCTTCAGAAAGCAATCAGCTTTTGCATTGTTTATATCAAGATTTCCATCAATCGACTGTTTATTTCAGGATTCCAGAGACTTTTTAGTTTTTTTTCTTCATACCCTTCCGCATCTTATCCACATCCGAATACAAAACAATGGAAGTATGAAAATCCACGAAGAAGGAATCGGAAGAAATTGCTCTGCTATTTAAAATGCTTGTTGCATACACAGCACAACATTTTAAGTCACGAAAGAAACTACGAACGACTAACAAGAAAAATTGAACTTGAATGAAGTTTTGTCCATTTGAATAAAGACACTTGTTCAACAATTAGCGTTTTACTCAACATGTCTTGTACCAGGCATGACTTACCGAAGTATTAGTAGTAAGCTAGTGATGTGCTGTCTTCCGATGTTGTGTCCAACTAACTAGTGTGTAGTCCACACAAAATTTAAAATCCATTTTTTTGGACATTTACAATAATCCATTGATTTTTCATTCTGCAGCAGCAGCAACAGCGAAGGCAACAGCAGAAGAAGCCGCAGCAGCAGCAAAAAGTGTAAAGCATACCGTCAAGTACATACAAGGCAAATTGAACAAAATTTTGGTAGTCGATGATCATAAATTTTATAAAAAATACAGCCAACAAACACAAATCTTCTGGAAATGCCGCTTAGCCTCAAGTTTAGGGTTTGTATTATCAATGAATTGATGAATATTTTTGCTTCCCTTTCGGTCATTATATGGAAAATTTTAGATAGATTTTATTCCATGATTTTATTGTTGAATTACTTTTTGTTTCTTCTCTAAAAGGTGCCCAGCTAGATGTCGAACAAGTGCAGACGGTCGCTCCATAAAATTTCTCGACCTAAACCATAATCATGGTGTGCACACAGGCACCAAGCATTCATTCACTGGACATTTATCGAAAGCTACCGACATTCAAGCAATAAAAACCGAACCAAGAAAATATAACGAAAGACCGTCAATTGGTCCAATTAAAAATAACCCATTTAATTTTTAACGAGTTATGATTTATGAAAAATATTGTACCAAAATGAAACTAAAACCAAAACAGTGAATTAAAAGATACATAGATGAAACTATTTGTTCTATTTCTTTCCCGATTGTTCGAAAATACATATTTTCAATCATACCTAAATGAATAAAAGTGCTTATTGGTTTGTTAATCGAATGCAAAATTTTCATTGCAGCATTTTACAATCGGCAAGGACACTACATCGAGGTTCTGGCAGGCCAGTGCAAAGTCGTTTACATAAATGGTTATGGTTTTCGAAAGCGGTACAAAACAAAGAAATGGAATTA